CACGCGAGACGGATTTCAGCTGTCCGATCGCACGCACGCGGATCACCACGTGGCCCGTTTCGCGTGGCCTTCTCGCATCAGTGTCTCTGCCACACAGCGTGTCCTGGTTGGCCGAAGCTGCTGACTGAGCTGCTGACGTAGCGCAATTTTTCTTAATTGCTTTTTGACCTCTGGTTTTCGATTTTCTTTTCAAAAACACCCTTAGAATCCGAATTTTCACCATTTTTTCCCAAAATTGTTTTCAATTAAATCCCAAAAATAATTTTACCTATTTTTATCATTATTATTATTTTTATTTCTATTAAATTAAATTAAACTAAATTAAAACCATATATTATTACTTAAATAAATCAATTAAAAAAATTAAAATAAAATAAAATTATAATAATTCTAATAATAATAATAATAATAAAATTAGGGTGTTACATACACAGTATACAATTCATAATTCTTATAGCTTCGCCACGCCTGGCTAAAGCCGTATCCATGGGTAGGGTTCACCACAGTCATACGTCAAAAAGCTACACACACACACCCCTCAGTGATACCGGTTAAACGAATTTTTCTAAACTCTAAACCCTAAACTCTAATTAATAGTTATTTATTTATTTTAAATCACTAATAAATTTTTTAATTTTATTATTTAATATATCTTATACCTATAACACACATACTGTAACTATTCATCACCCTAAACTCTTCTATATATTTTTAATATACTCTCAATTACATAGCAACCAATTCATATACGAATTTAGTTACAAGACATAGCAGAGAATTCATCAGTAAATTCAATAATAAACATAAATAAGAATATAAAAATCAGTAATAAAATTTTGTCAAAATTCTGCATCTATTAATAAATTGTCAATTATTAAACATCATAGTTTTAGTATCTTAAATAGATTAACCTATATTTGTAAGTACTTATGTACTTACCATTTTTGACTAAATTTCTTTCGTGAAATTATCCCCGAGATACAAGATCAATCTGTTACAGTGATATTCATATTGGGTTAGTAATGAATTAATAATCTTCTAATTTCAAATACTCGTGTCTAGACTTATTCCTAATTCTAAATTAGATAAATAATTCATTGCATTAGAGTTAAATATGATTAATTAACCTTAAATTTAAAACGATAAACCATTAGAGTTTTTGAACTTACCTACTCGAACCGGGTTCCTAGGATTCACTGCGCGCAACTACCGGAAGTCCGTGCGCCGCCACATGTGCTGCCACTAAATTGCCACGTGCCGCCATCGCTCACTATCAATCGTCGACGCATGCTATTGCAAATCGATTAGAACTCACCGTGAAATACTTCGCCCTCAAATCTAGCACAGATATGGCGAAATCACGTCGGAAGGAGCCGCAAAACAGAAAAAACGTGCATCAAGTCGCTGCACAGATTATCCTCTTCTCCTGCGCATCACCACGCGCAACATCAGCTTCTCCTTCTCTTTTTTCTTCTTCTTCTTCCTCTCCTCTCTTTGTTACTGATTCCTGGTAACTACAGCCCCTCCCTTTAATCTTCTTCTCTCTCTCTCTCTCTCTCTCTCTCTCTCTCTCTCTCTCTCTCTCTCTCTCTCTCTCTCTCTCTCTCTCTCTCTCTCTCTCTCTCTCTCTCTCTCTCTCTCTCTCTTCCTGCACCCATCTCTTTCCCTCTCTTTGCATTTTATAAGGAGGAGTGAGAGGCGTCTTGCACGACCCTACTTCCTTAGTGTGTAAGTCTCCTCTTCTTCTTTTTCAGCCACTGGCAGAGGCATACACACCTCCGCCTCTTCATCTTCCCCGAC